CACACACACATTCCATCGATAGGATGAGCAAAAACGGAATGAATCTTCCGCTGAAACGTGGAAATATACGCTGGCACTTTTTGAGCAAAATCGGAATGAATCGTTCGTGTGTGTGTGTGTGTGTGTGTGTGTGTGTGAGAGAGAGATAGAGACAATAACTCTCTGACCTTGCGACTGCCACGCTGCCGCCCAAAACCGCTCCACGCTCAGTCAGGAAAACAACGCGAGCCCCGTCGCACTGCGAACGCGCTTCTCCCCGCTGCGCGCGCTGACCGACGCGGGCCCGCCCCTACGCAAACGCGCACCCCGCTCATTTTTCCCGTGGCCGCGTGCGATCCTACGCAGCTTGAATGCGTCTGGTCTGCCGCGGGGTCCAAACGGCGCGGTTGGCACCGTGGCCCGTCACTATTGATTTCCTCCTTGGCCGAATGTGGCTGTGGCGCGGGATTGCCTCCTCATGTGGTTTTCCTCATGTGATTTCCGCTGGGCCCAACGACTGCCGTTAGGGTGGGCCCGTTGCAGTTTTTATAAGGTATAGAGAAATCAGGAGGAGGGTATGTACTTAGTTTATGTCTCTGCGGCAGGCGAGCCAGTGAAAATGCCGTCGGAGATAGAGGGAGTAGTTGCCAAGTACCCTGAGCCGACAGGCGTTGTAGAGAGGGAGGTGGTCCACGCGATAGAGATTATCCTAGGGTCTAGCATCCCGAAGGGTAGGATCTATCGGATGTCTCCAAGCGAGCTCGGTGAGCTTCGCCGACAGCTCAAGGAACTCGTAGAGAAGGGTTGGATCTGGCCGAGTGTCTCTCCTTATGGGTCTCCAGTACTATTCGTACCTAAGAAGAAGGAGGGAACACTTAGGATGTGCATTGACTATAGGGGCCTCAATGCCATCACTGTCAAGAACAGAGAGCTCCTACCCCGCATCGATGATTTGCTTGATAGAGTGCAAGGGTGTCGGTACTTAAGTAAGATAGATCTGAAGTTCGGGTACCATCAGATTGCAATCCGGCCCGAGGATCAACACAAAACCGCATTTTAGACCAGGTACGGTCTGTACGAGTTTGTGGTGATGCCTTTTGGCCTTTGCAATGGTCCTGGCACCTTTCAGTATGCTATGAATCGGATATTCCATGACTAGTTGAATAAGTTTGTCATTGTGTACCCCGATGACATACTTATTTTTAGTAAGACTGTCGAGGAGCACGTTGCACACTTGGACAAAGTCCTCAGTCTCCTACGACAACACAAGTTCAAGATCAACGGTGAGAAGTGCGAGTTTGGCCGCACCCGTGTCTTGTACTTGGGTCATGAGATTTCCGCGGAAGGGTTGAAGCCCGATGACGCGAAGGTGGCCAGCATTCGTGACTGACCGCGTCCTCAGTCTCTGACCGAGATGAGATCTTTCTTAGGGATGACCGGCTACTATAACAACTTTGTGAAGAAGTATAGAATAGTTGCCACCCCTCTGACTGATCTGACCCGCCTTGACACCCCAATGGGAGTGGACTGAGAGATGCGAGGCTGCTTTCAGATACTTGAAGCATGCGTTGACGCAGTACGAAGTCTTGAAACTTCCTGATCCTGATAAACCATTTATAGTAACTACGGATGCTAGCCAATATGGCATAGGCGCCGTACTTGCACAACAGGAGGGGAAAAAGTTGAGGCCAGTAGAGTACATGTCCAAAAAGATGCCCTCTCAGAAGTTAGCTAAGTCCACCTATGAGAAGGAACTCTATGCGGTTTACAAGGCTCTGACCCATTGGTGGGGGGTTCTTCATCCTGAGGACTGATCATCAGACCCTGAGATGGATGAGAACTCAGCCGGTACTCTCTGATGCTCTCAAGCGTTGGATCGAAGTCATTGAGCAGTATGACTCCGAGCCCCAGTACATCAAGGGCGAGTGCAACAAGGTTGTTGATGCCCTGTCGCGTAGACCAGACTTCTCTGGTGCGCTGATCACTGAGGTTGGGCTTGCGGACAATGTTACTCAGTCCATGGTGGAAGTCTATCGCGAGGATCAGTTTATGTCAGAAATCATACGCAGACTAGAGGCGAAGGACAAAAAGACTTCAGCCGAGTTTGAGTTCGTTAACGGCTTGCTGTTTCTTGAGAAGGCAGGGAATAAGCGTTTGTGTGTCCCCAATAGCAAGTCTTTGCGTAGTTTGTTTTTAGGCGAGTGCCATGATGGCACCGGCCATTTGGGGTACAAGAAGACCGCAGCCAATCTGCTGCAGCGGTTCTGGTGGCCCACATTGATGAGAGATGCTAAGTTGTACGTGGAGACTTGTCAGGTCAGTCAGAGGGACAAGCCACGTACACAGGCTCCTCTTGGGCTGCTGAAGCCCCTTCCGATTCCGGAAAGGCCTGGTGAGACCCTGTCCATGGACTTCATGGATACACTGGTCACCAGCAAGAGTGGAATGCGCTACATCTACGTCATTGTGGATAGGTTTAGTAAATTTGTTAGATTAGTTGCGATGCCGACAACAGCTAAAACGGAGTATGTGATTAAGATGTTCAAAGAGAATTGGGTTAGAGACTTGGGATTACCTAAGTCCATAGTTAGTGATAGGGATGTCAGATTCACAAGTGAGTTGTGGAAAGCAACAGCTGCAGAGCAAGGTACGCAACTGCAGATGACATCAGGCAATCATCCTGAGGCAAACGGGCAGGCTGAATAAATGAACCGCGCTGTACAACACCTGCTAAGGCATTACATCAAGCCAAATCAGGTAGATTGGGATGAGAAACTTGCTCTCATCGCAAGTTTGTACAATAACGCTGTGCGCAGCGCAACCGGAGTCAGTTCTAACAGCCTGCTACTGACCTTCAGACCCCGACTGCCTTTAGACTTTTTACTACCTGACAATCAGCCAACCGCTGCACCTGGGACTTCAAAGTTTGCTTATCGATATGAGCAGCTGATGCAGCAGGCTGTTGAGCAGATGCACAAGACACAGACGACGATGATAGAGTCTGAGAACAAACACCGCCGCCCCTCTACGTTTCAGGTAGGAGAGAGAGTCTGGGTCAAGTCCTCAGAACTGGGACAGGAGCACGGGATCTCCCGCAAGCTCATGCCACAGTACTTCGGACCGTGGGAAGTATTGGATATCGTGGGGAATGAACCGGATGGCCTGTCTTACGTTATTCGCATCCCTGGTCACTTACGCACTTACCCTGTCTTTCATGCCTCCAAGCTTGCACCTTTCAAGGAAACAGATCAGTTTCCATCTCGTCGTTCAATGCTGCCCCCAACCATGGATGGAGAGGTCGACGTCGAGGATATTGTTGATCACCGAGAGCTGCCAGTTCCAAGAACAACAGGCAGGGGACGTCCTCCGAAACCGAAGCTGCAGTACCGCGTTCGGTTCCGACATCATACTGATCCTAAGGAGGACCGCTGGTTCACCAGGGAGGAACTCATGCAGACCGCTCCGCAAGTTGTAGCCCACTATGAGAAATCTCTGCAGAAAGGAAAGCGCCCGATGGTCGAAGGCTGAGCTTCTCAGAGGACTGTTGAAGCTAAGGAGGAGGGAATGCGAGGCCAATGCCTCTATGAGCCCCAATCGACCCCTTTTTGGGAGCCTGTCGGCCGCCCTAAGTGAAGGCAGGCTCAACGAGGCCCCTCAGGGCCTTACTTCGGCCTCTGCGCAACTAAGGAAATTCAGGCAGTTGCGCAGCGCCAGTTGGTTGAGAAAACCCAGGCCCTGGGCCGCCTGTGTGAATGAATGGAAAGCAGGCCCTGGGCTGGATACGGGTATTGGGCCAAACACATGCCAAAGGCAGTTGGGCGCATGCAACCACCTCAGGCCCCAGGCCTGTTCTCGATCGTGCTGGGCCTCAGGCTACCGGGGCCTACTGGAAGCTTCCTGGGACTGGACGCAGGCAGGCCACTTCGATATAGCAAAGGGCCTGCCTCCTCATTCGGATTCCGGTGCTGGCTGCATGCTGCGAAGGCGCTGCTGCGCCATTTGCTGGCTGGCGCCTATGCGCTCACGGGCGAGCAGGGAAGGAGCAGGCAGCCATAGCCGAGCTGCGCTGCTGTAAGCTGGGTGTGGCGCAGGGTGGTCCTTGGGTGCAAGTGGCATCTGTGTGTTGGGGAACGAGGTTGTGAGTGAGGCGAGAGACATACCTGGTGCTGGAAGCGTGCGACATTGGTCGCTGTATGCTCGTATTTCGGGAATCATTCGGCATTGTAGGCTAGGCTAGATAGGATCTGCCATCTGTAGTCTGGGCGCCGAGCGCCAGATAGGATATCAACATTGGTTCTTCATTGATGATGATGATGAGACTTTACCAGCATTGTCAATTATGAGCTCTTGGTGTCTTCTTATTTGGTGAAACTTGTGATGCAATTCTTCTGTTGGTTCGGGGTCACGACTATCTGGTCTTGTGTATATGATGCTGTTTGATTGCTGAAGTTCGCTATTGCTCATCTTCCTTGCACAGTCAATGGGTGGAGCTTTGCCACTACGCGTAGCTCAGCTAGGCTTAGGGGTTTGTCCAGGCCTGCCACATGGTTTGTCCAGATCGTCTTGTCAAGGTATGACAACATAGGTTGCCGGGCTGCTAAGTTTGCAGTGGTTGCAGCAGCACTACCGGTAGCACTGCAGGGGGTGTTTAAAAAAAAAAAGTAAAAAAAAAAGTTTGCAGTGGTCGGGGGTGAGGGTGTCTTCGATTCGTATAGGTCTGAATGCCCTGACTATCCTAACCATCTCTGAAACTGCTGTTTTGATGTTCCTTTGAGGCCCTCTATCATGTTGTTCCTTGCATTCGCTTGGATCCTGGAGAAGAAGAATTTAGTCATGGATTCGTTGAGTGTGTAGTCTGTCATCCTTACCCATAGTTGCAGTCCTCTCAGCTCCCACCTTCTCCATTCGTTTAGTTCTTCTTTGTTATCAACTAGTACCTGGTAAAACTCGCTAGAGGGCTCCTCTGCCAGGTTAGATTCTGCGACTAAGATGGCTCCCTTCTCCTCTTGCGGTCTCCAGATGTACCTCGTGATTCCGCTGATACTGTTCGTGTTAGTTCCGCATAACTGTCTATGAACCATTGGTATCTATTTGTCTGTCTGAACTCTCGCTATTTGTGGGAGGACCAGTCATCTTTGACAGCAACAGACAGCCTCTCGGTTGTTAAGAGGGAGTTGTTCAGCCTGAAAAAAACCTGACCTGTTTCAACTGCAGAATTGAAGTTCAGCAGCAAATGAATGGGTTTATGGTCCAGTCCTTTGAATGCGGCAGATGGACAGATTTCGGCTTCTTTGACTGCGCCTTGTAGGCTCTCAGATACGAGGAAGTAGTCAATCCTGGACAGTGATGTCCGATTGGCTTGGTTCTCTTTTATACGGGGGAAGACTTTTTAATCCGGTTGCAGTGCCCTGAGAGGATCGATGAGTTTGAATGCTGTCATCAGATTCTGTATCAGGGTTCCCGCTCTTGTGGGACCCATTAGTACTGTCCTTGATATCCGGTCCAGGTTGGGGTCCAGGGTCGTGTTCCAGTCTCCTGCGATGATTAACGGTTGTGGGTTGGGGATAAGGGTTTTGATGTTCTCGAAGAAGGTCAGTCTTTCGGGTTCTGCATTAGGTGCATATAGGCCACTCACCATACAACTCCAGCCTGCTCCGCAAAATCCCATACCTGGCATTCATTGATGCTTAACCACAACCAGGGTAAAGGTGATTATCACTTACAGTTCAATCCGTTAGGGGATTCTGCAGACTGTTGAGGGTTCAGCCTCCTTATGAGTCAGTGAAACTCCGACGAAACAGTTTGTCACAGCCCCTTGTTTGTTCTTCTCTTCTGACTCTCTGCCTGCGGTTTACCAGCCAGTTCTGTTTATATCTTTTTCAATCTAAGGAAAACGGTAGAGGGAAGTGCCAAGGGCCCACTCAATGTACAACTCCAGCCTGCTCCATAAAATCACATACCAGGGACAGACCCAAACATTCGGGCGTACATTGGTAAAGGACAAAAGGCAACATCCTTAACAATTACATTGTATGGACCACAAAAAAAAAGTGTACCACAACACAGAAGGCACTACCAACAAGAAAGCACCGACCAGAACCTCCAATGGGCCCAAAGAATAGGAAGAGCCCTCTGAGTCGGCCCACAAAGCCACAAAATAACTCCATAGAATCTCCACGCGACACCAGGAGCACTACTGCTTAAAACACCATAGAAATCCCCCATCATCCATGTGCTCCAAAAGAGCAGCCCATGGAAGTGACACCCACAGCAAAGACTCTCTGAGCCTCCTCATGAAGATACTGTGGCCATGACTCCAAACGAACATTCCTGCCCAAAAAAGCTGGTGGCCACCCACAGACATACCTTCATCAAGAGACAGCCCATGTTTTACAGCAGGGAAAAGAATTGTGTGGGTGTGTGTGTGGGTATGTGTGTTTGTGTGTTTTGTAACTTTTGTTGTGTGTCTGTGTCTGTGTGTGTGTGTGTGTGTGTGTGTGTGGAGGGGGAGGGCAAAGCGGAGGAAGATTAAATCTCGGCTAAGAATTCAGTGAATGACGTTTGGTACTCTACTGCTGATTGGTGATCCATGCAAAGTTCAAGTAAAACATTAAGCATTCAGAGGGAAATTTAAGGTTCTTGAAATGGGCAACCGTTGGTGCTGTCAGGTTTCCTTGGCTGTCTGTCCAGATCAGTCTGCCCAGAGTCCCAGACCCAATCAGGCTGGTTTGTCAGCTTGGGCAAAATAAGAACTGTGAAGTAATCCTTGAACTTGATATCTTAAGGGAGAAGTGTGATGGGCTGCTTAAGCCCTTTGGCGTGCAGTGAGATGATCAATATGGACCATCCCTTCGTGTCAGAGTCTGGCCATGCCTCTCTGTTCAGCAGCTCCCCTGCACAGGGACTCTTCCACCCTTATGCATCCATTCTGCTGTCCCATGTCACCAACACTCCTTAAACCCCGCCTTAATGAATGACAAACGGCCCACAATACCCCATCCAATTTCCATTTGTGGTCAATGCACCCCCCAAACACCCATCTCAATGGAGTAGGGGACAAGAATGCACTGAATTAGAGGAGGGATGCAGATAGAAGGGTCGTTAAAATGTTGAAAGGGGGGTTGTTATTTGCCTAATTGAAAACGAATCCAGTGTGGCATTCACACGTGTTCCTATACACATGTCCAATGACAAGCAGACTTGGGGAGAGCAATCCACATCAAACCAGATGAGAAGACTACACAGCGGAAACTGACAAAACCAAGAATAGAATTGATTAAATCAATTCTTATCAATACCGTCTCTCCTCCAACTCAATCAGCAGCACAAAATTCCCAGGATCCCAACCCCGTTACAACATCCACGAACCAATTAAAACAGAGTTTCATCGAGTATGGGGAGACTTCTTCTTCCTCCCTCAACGTTGAGCTCCATCTATGGCACCGCTTCCAATTCCAGCACCCAACCTAATCAGCCCACCAATCGTCACACACCACTCTGCACCAATCATGATGTGCACTGCAGATGGAGTGTCCATTCAGCAAGGGAGTGCAGCTCTCAGGACGAAGGCGAAGAATACCAACTTGATGAAGATGAATATGGCCGCCACTTGAAGAAGCCAAACAGAAGAAGCTGCTTCGCAGTCAGCTCTGTCAAACCCTAACTGACCGAGTAGGAGGAAGCACCTACAGCGCTTAGGGCCTGTAAGCTCAGCGCTGCTCTCGAAGTAGTTGGCTGGCCCAGCTATGGCCGCAAGCACACCACCAATAAGAAGATGCCCCGCGCTATGGAAATTAGCGCTGCAGCATGAACGTGGCCTACGCCTGGCTCGTGAAAAGGGGGGAAAATGAAAAGAACCAAAAACCTGTTCCCCATCTGCCCCGTCACTTTTCTCCACTCTTGTTTTTCGACCTAGCCTAAGGACCCTACGAACAGACAGACCTACGGACTGGCTGCACCTAGCCTAAGGACCCTACAAACAGGCAGAAAGGGAAAAAAAAGGCAGCAACCAAAACAACTGAAACGG